ACCATTGTGTATTTCTACTAGCAAAGAATAAGATTCAGTTATTCCACATCCTCTTCAGCATTTGGTGTGGTCTGTATTCTGGATTTTGGCCATTCTAAGAGTTGTTAGTGGTCATTCATTTTTGTTTTAATTTGCATTTTCTTGATGACTTTATGATGTGGAGCATCTTTTCATAATAGTTTGACATCTGTGTATCTTTGGGGAGGTATGTGTTAAAGTCTTTGGCCCAATTTTTAAGTCTGATCCTTTGTACTCATATTGTTGAATTTTAAGCATTCTTTTTTATGTTTTGGATAACAGTCCTTTATGTGTGTCTTAGTCACTTTCTTATCATTGGAACAAAATACACAACACCTATCACTTACAGGAGAGGAGGTTTGTTTTGGTTTACGCTCTTTAGAGAACTCAGTCTACAGTCAGTGGGCTCCAAAGCAGAAAGGGCACAGTGGAAGGGCCAGAGCAGACAATTGCTGCTCATCCCATGGTAGCCAGGAAGCAGATACACCCTCCCCCGGTCACATTCCCATTGACCTTGCCTCTTTTGACCAGTCTCTACCTTCTAACAGCACATTCAACTGTGAACTCATCAGTGGATCAGTCTAGTACCCGCTGCCACATGGTTCCTCATCATCCAAAAACCTCCCTATGAACACATCAGGCTTTATATCTAGATCTAAACCGTAACAATCTGACATATATTTTACAAATAATTTTTCTGCAGCTTTTGTTTTTCATCCTCTTGACAGTGTCTTTTTGTAAGTCTACTTTAAAAAAAATTTTTTTTAAATTTTATTTAAAGAAAGACTAAACAAAACAGAAAATGGGTAGAATTAATACATATGTTCAAAGAAAAAAATAAACAGTAAGAAATCACTAGTTGATGTGTACATACTGTCCTCTTACAAATAGTTGTTCAAGATACAAAAGTGGAACATATAAAGTGGGAATTGAAACAGAGAGACTGTAAACAGTTCTGTTAACTATCTAACAAAAACTTAGTAATATGATTGTCAATCTTATACATTGACAGTGTCTTTTACAGAGCATAAGTTTTAAATTTTAATGAAATCCAGCTCTTCAGTTATTTCTTTCATGATTCATACCATTAGTTATCATCCAAAAGGTCATCCATCATACTGAAGGTCATGTGGATGTCCAGTTGTTCTAGAGCCATTGGTTGAAAAGACTTTTTTCCATTGTATTGCCTTTGCTCCTTTTTGCAAATGAGTTGACTTTATTTATAATAGGTCTATTCAGGAGTTCCCTATTCTGTTTCATCAATGTATTTGCTTATACTTTACGCAAAACCACAGTATCTTGATTACTGTAGTATTATAGCAAGCCTTAATGTCAGTTATTGTAAGTATGCCAACATTTTTCTCTCCTTCAATGTTAAATTTGATATTCTGACTGTTTTGCTTCTCCATATAAATTTTAAGATCAATTTGTTATTGATCAAATAACTTACTAAGATTTTTATTTGGATTGTATTGATTCTGTAGATTAAATTAGAGAGAACCAGCATCTTGAGTCTTCATATGTATGGCCCATGTATTTAGTTTTTGATACTTCTTATCAGAGGTTTTTATTTGTTTTTTTGTTTTCCTCATATAGATCTTGTGCATACTTTGTTAGATTTTGTTAGGTTACTTAAGTAATTTTATGCTAACCCAAATGGCATCATGTTTTAAATCTCAAATTCTATTTGCTAACTTTTATTTATTTATTTATTTATTTATTTTTTAAATTTTATTTAAGGAGAAAAAAAAACAGAAAAAGGGTACAAGCTATACAGAATTTCAGAAAAAATCAACAGTAGGAAATCACTAGTTAATTACATATTGTCATCTTAGAAATAGTTGTTGAAGTTACAAAATTAAAGCATAAAGAGGGGACTTTCAAACAGTGAGACTGCAAACAGTTTTATTCAATAATCCAACAAAACTCAGTAATATGGTTATCTATCTTATACACTTAAATATATATGCAGTTGTATCTTTTAGAGAACTTTCTTTTCCTTTCTTTTGTACAATGACAATTACATATTTTGGGTTTTATTACTCCCACAGTTCTTATTACTTTTTTTTGAAGAAAGTAAAACCAAATATGACATACCTGGACAGAGTCAGTCAAATCAAAATAATGGACATAATACATAATGTAAAAACAAAATACAAGGTGATCAACAATGGTTACCATAATGCCTCTTGTTATCTTAAAAATAATTTCTTATATCATCAGTTATAATAAAATTGAACAAAGCAGTAAAGAATAAGACCAATAAAAACAAAACATTGGAGACATTTGAGGACTTCAAAAGAAGATAATAGTCAACCAGAATGGGCATCACAATGGATCTTATTGTCTTCATAGTTGTTGCCTAGACTTTCAAACTTGGTACTATCAAGCATAACAGAATAGAGGAAAATCAGTCAAAACAAGATGGTGAGAACAATACAGAGTTTCAAATCAAGTTAATAGGAAATCAAAGTGGGTTACTATAATATATCCTGCTATTTTTATTTATTTTTCCCTTAATTAAAAGGATAAAAATGAAAAAGTAGATAATAAAAAGGAGATGGAGATAAAAAGAGGGTATAACAACAAAACAGTGCAGGTCAAAACATAGCCATTTAAGCAAAATAGTGTTTCACCACAAGATAATCTCGACATAATAGTAGTTACCATAGTGTCTCTTCCCTTAAAATCTTTGTATCTTCCCTTAAAATCTTCCCTTAAAAACTTTGTATACTGTAGCATCAAACATATCAAGACAATGTAAAACCATTAAAGAGAATGACAGTATTCCAGGGTATTTAGAATCAACTAACAGAAAATGAACAATGGTTTCTGTATAATCTCCTTGTCTGTAAAAGTTTTTGTTTATATTATCACATATAATAAAATCCAATAAGATACCACCTGTTTAGACCAATGGAGACAGAAGAACAAAAGCTTGATGAGACTTCAAAACAAGATGATACTAAATCAGTATTACCTCTTAAGACGTCATTTTCTCCAAAATAGCTGTTCCTATCATCCAATCTTCTCTGCCTCATTTCTGTTGAGCTCTTTTACTGTCATTAGTTGTCAGTTTGTCTTCTTCATTTTGTTTTCTGCTCCATTCATTGTGGCCTCTCTGCCGCTACTTCTGGATTCTTTGTATTTTTCTTTTTTAGAATATCTTGCAGTATTCTCTGTAGAGTTGAATTGGTGGTTGCATATTCCCCTAGTTCCTCTTTATCCTGGAAGCACCTTGTTTTTCCATCAATTTCTAGGGACAGTTGTGCAGGATATATCAATCTTGGCTGGAGGTTATTATCTTTCAAAGCTTAAATTATTTCCCCCCACGCTCTTCATGATTTGATGGTTTGTGCTGAGAAGTCTGCTGTAATTCTGATGGGTGTTCCCTTGTAAGTGATCTGTTTCTTGTCTCTGACGGCTTTTAATATCCTGTTCTTATATTGGATTTCTGGAATTTTGATTATTATATGCCTGGGTGTAGCTCTGTTTGGGTTGTAGGTGGCTGGGGTCTATATGCCTCATACCTCTGAGTATCTTTACCTTTTGCTAAATTAGGGAAATTCTCCTGGATTATTTCTGTGAATATCTTTTGTAGTTCATTTGTTTGAGTCACTACTTCTTCTTTTATGTTCTTAATTCTTAAGTTATAAATCCTCTTGTCATCTTCTAGTCTTTGTATTATTGCTGTTTATTTTCTTGTTATTTTTAAGAAGTTTTTCATTTCATGCTCCCACCTTACAAATCGGTCCTCCAGCTCTGATAATCTATCCTTAGTTTCTTTCAAGCTCTTATGCCAGCTTTCAATAGAGTTTTTAGTTGCCTGGTAATCTCTGTGAACCTGCTTCACGTTTTCTATGTTTTCTCTATTTTCTCCATCAAACAATTCTCCCCTTTTTTTCTGTTCTTCCATTCCACCATCTGTTTTTTCTTGGGCGGTGCTTAGCATTTCTCTAACTATTCTACTTATTTCTTGCTTTATTTCATTAAATACTTCATTTTTGAACTCGTCTATGAGGCTCCGGAGATACTGTTTTATATCTATAGGTGCCGTGTCTGATATTGCATGTTTTCTGTCTTCATTCTCTTTTGCTTTTACCTTTCCTGGATCAGTGTTCTCAGGATTGGGGACTGAGGAGCCTTTCTTGTTGCTCCCTTTTCCCATACTTTTTGTTCCTTCCATACAAGCGTATGTAGGAGGCTCAGTTTTTTTTTTTTTCCTCTTTGTCTGTTACAGTTTGTTTGGATCCGCTGGCTAGGTGTTCCCGCCCACTGCAGTGTACTAGGGAGACACAGACCTGGGCAGCCTCTGCTGGGCCTGCCCCTCCAGGTCAACCTATTGAATGTTTCACTGCTAGGGTGTATGAAAGTGTCCTCATTTCACTCACTACAGGTCGAGCCAGTCCCGTTCTCAGTGCCGTTTGATTCGCTGATTCCCGAGCTCAGAGTTTTGGCGAGCCTCTCGCCCTGCCGTGCGGATTGGGACGCAGTATTGGCAGCAGGAAATTCAAATCACGGCTTCCAATGGCACGGGATCCAGCTTCCGCACTGAGTTTTTATCTGTTCCTGTTATAGCATCAGGATTGCATTTCCAGTTGGTTTCTCTCAGCTTACTTTGTTCCTGGGCCAGCAAGGTACATCTTGCCTCCTGTGGGACTCCTCACACGGCACCGCTCCTGGATTCTAAGCTGGTAATCTCAGAGAGCCTCCATGGCTGCTGTTATTTGTCCGCCATGTTCTCCCGGAAGTCTCTATTTGCTAACTTTTAAAGAAGCTATTTACTTTTTTGTATTAAACTTGTATCCCACAATTTTGCTGCAATTGCTTATTAGTTTCAGGAGTTATAAAATAATGATTTTAATTCTACCAGAAATACACTGTACTCTCCTCTATTAGTTTGAACTAAGACCATAAATGCTAGCACCATTTCAAAATCCACACCTCCGTTTGTATCAATATTTTCTCTTTTGCTCTCCCAGGTGGTCAGAGGACACCATGACGGTCACAGTGGTATATGATAACTCTGAGGCAACAGAGCTCTGTGCTGCTCAGCACCTCTACCTCAAGCCCATAGCAAAACTGATGATCAATGTACTGCTCCCAGAAAGTATAGAACCTGTGAGACCCGTCTCCAACTGGGAAGTTCTTGACCAACTAAAGAGTCTCATTTGCCCTGACCAGTTTACCACAGTTCGGCTCTCTAAAAGTACAAAGGACTTCATTCGATTTGAGGGTGAGGCTGAAACCCGAAGTTTGGTTCAAATCCTGAAGGCAAAGTTACATGGGAAGATCATCAAGCTAAATGGTTTGAAAACAGACTTAAAAGTAGTGGCTACAGATGCCCAGGGAGAGTGGGATCACTTCCCTAAGGAAAAAGAGGCCTTATTAAGTGATGGAGCTGAAGAGCAGGACCATGATAAGAGCCCAGATTCCATATATTTTGAAGGCTTGCCCTGTAAATGGTTTGCAGCTAAAGGTTCCAGTGGGGAGAAGCCATGTGAGGAGATCCTTCGGGTAGTCTTTGAAAGTTTTGGGAAAATCAAGAATGTGGATATACCTATGCTTGACCCCTACAGAGAAGTGATGACTGGTGGGAGCTTTGGGAGTTTTAGCTTTGGTCTACAAACATTCGAGGCCTTTATCCAGTACCAAGAGTCAACAGACTTCATAAAAGCCATGGAGTCACTTCGAGGAATGAAGCTGATGCTTAAAGGAGATGATGGAAAAGCTCTGGCATGTAATATCAAGGTAAGAAGTAGCCAAACTTTATTTTTCACTGCTCAGGTTACCCTGAATGAAAGTTGAATGGAAGCATCTAAAATAAATTTCCTTAGATTTCATCAGGTTCTGTGATCAATAGCAAGGGTAAAGACTTGTGCCTTTACATTTATGATTCATAAATGGATGTTTAAGAAGAAAACTCACCTTGATTTGAACACTCAGTCTTCTGCTCTCAGACATTCCACCAACTGTAATTTTGAAGTAATGGTTGCTGTATTTTGGGACTCTGCTTCAACTTCTTATTGGCTTTAAAAGATTATTTGTGTCCCTTATGGAACTATCTCATATACTTACTATATTTGACAAGTTGCTGGGAGAAAGGGAAAGATGCAATCTAAAAGCACAGGGACAGCAGTTTATTCCCTCATGACTCCTGGAGACACACTTTATGTTTTCAGGATGTGTGTCAGAGAAATTACTAAAACATAATCTTAACAATTATGGATCCCTCACTTTTAAAGTATGCCTGTCTATCCCTCATTGATGTATACAGGCTTTGATCATGTCCTTCTTGAAGTCTTTTTTTTTTTTTTTGTCTTTTTCATTTTTATTGGTACCGGGGACCGCCTGCTTGCAAGGCAGGTGCTTATGCCACTGAGCTAAACCCCCAGCCCCTTTCTTGAAGTCTTAGCACTGCCGTGGGAAAGATGTGACCAAGTTCTGTTGTTTGTCTGAATCTGCCTTTAGTTTTCATTTGAATTTACAGCTACTGGTGTATGAGTATGTGTGGGGCCACTTAAGTTAAAGTGTTTATTTTTAAATTATGAGATATTCAATCAGACAAAAGATATAAGAAATACTATGACTCCCAGCTTCAAAAACAAAGCATTACCAGTAAGATGAACTGAGTACTCCCCACCAGGTATCATCCCCAGTCATGTTCTGGTCCCTCCCCTCAAAAGTAACCATGGTTATGAATTTGTTGTTTATCTTTCTCATACATATTTAAATAGGTTCTCCTGCCCCTTTTTATTTTTGAAGCAAACTATCTCAATCACTTTATTTCAAGATAGGAAAAATAGCCAGGGATTTAGCTCAGTGGCATAAGCGCCTGCCTGGCAAGTGTGAGGGCATGAGTTCAATCTGTGGTACAAAAAAAAATTACAAGCTATGAAAAATAGTTCAGTAATGATGATGGTCAGATCTTCTCACTTATTAAGTCACTTTTCATGCATCTTTGATTCCTGTTACCATTCCCTACCATACTTGTTGATTAGTTTATCTTTGATAATTTAAAAATACATTAACTCAATCAGTGTGTGTGTGTGTGTGTGTGTGTGTGTGTGTGTGTGGTACTGGGGATTGAGCCTAGGAACTTCATGCTGGTCCTCAACCCTTTTTACTTTTCATTTTGAGAGAGTGTTGCTAAATTCCCTAGGCTGGATTTGTACTTGGGATCTCCTATCTCCCAAAGTGCTGAGTTTACAGTTTTGCACCACTGCATCTGGATTAACTCAGTTGATTTTTTTTTTTTTTTGTCTTTTTGAGAACGGGTCTCACTATGCAGTTCAGGCTGGTCTTGGGCTTACTTTGCAGGCCAGGCTGGTCTGAAACTTGCAGCTATCTGCCTCAGCCTCCCGAGTGCTGGGATTACAGGAGTGTGCCACCATGCCCGGCTCTACTCAGTTGATTCTTAACAGCAAACCAGAGGTACTATACATTTCTAGCCTGTATGTGTGCTAACACTGTGATTTGACTGTGGCCCCTGTGTAATGTAGGCTCCTGAAAGTTTCTAAAACATCTTTATTAAGAAATGACAGGCACATTAAATTGTATAAAGTTAAAGTAATAATTTGATAAACTTGTTTAAGGATTCTACCAAGAAAATCTTGGTGTCCACACGTACCATTCAGCTGGTGTCCAAGAAGCAGTGGAACAGGATGGGTACTGGAATGCAGAGAGAAGGCATTCTGAATTTATTTGGTTTAGAATTACCATGTACCATATTGTTTTTAGTTCTCTGGCCTGAAACATACAAATAAAATGAAAATATTTTTAATCAAACACTAAACTGTTTGGGGACAGGTAATGTTCGATACAACCAAACACTTCAGTGAAGGAGCTATAAGGAGGAGAAACCAAGAAAGGCTAAAATTACAACAGCTGGAGGAAGAAAAAAGAAAAGAGAAGAGAAGAGAAGAGGAAGTAGCTGAAAGGTGAGGAGACTGAATTTCATGAAGAAGCTTTTTCTTTTGTTTTATGAGTTAATCCTTTTAGGTGAATACCTAGACTTCCTAGATAACATTGGGGTTGGGGCAGGTGTTGGTGCAGACTGGAAAACTCTGCAGAAGGCTACAGTCTTTCAGTTGTGCTCTTATAAAACCAAAGTGATAAAGCAGTTGAATACAAGAGACTGAAAAATATTTTTATAAGGGAGAACAAGTAATGAGTAGTAATGACATTAGTAAGATTAAGATCTATGAAGACATGATTTTAAAAAAAGAACCAGGAACTTTTATATGAAAATCCTAACCTAGACATTTAGAAATTTTACCAGTTTATCTATAATTTACCAATATCACCTAGCTTTCCAATTTAGAATAAAAAATAGGTCTAGAAAACATTTTCTTCTATATAATGGTCAGTAATCAAAGGAACCAAGAGGCAAGAATATGTATGATAGATTTGTGGGACAGTTCTCATTGTTGGCCCGAGCACTTTCTGTCAAGTAAAGATGCTTCCATGCTTATTTTTTCTGAAATTATTGTCATTTCCAAACTTAAGAGCTAGAGCCTAAAGGAGCTATTGGGTTGTCAAGTTTGTCCAGGAGGAACAGATGGCTTAGCACTATAGGACTCTGAAGACTAGTTCGATTTCCTGGCTCTTCCTCTTGCATATAAACTGCAACATTCAAGCTGGGTGTGTTACATGCCTATAGTCCCAGTACTGTGGAAGGCTGAGGCCTAAAGGTCAGAAATTCAAGCCCAGCTTGGATAACTTGGTGACTCAATAAGGCCTTGTCTCAAAATAAAAGAAATAAAACAGTTCTAGGGATGCAGCTCAGTGAAAAGGCCCTGGGCTCAATTCCACATGCTCCACACTTTTGGCTGGCAGGGTTATAAGAGTTAATGTGGTCACATCTAGGAATCTTAACTGAAATTTGAGCCCAGTCAAGGTCCTATTCATCTCCAAATTGCAGAATGAACATTCCATTTGGATTCCTCTAGGATTTGGTCAGGTCCTGAGTCAAGTAATTGCCCCCCTTTCCCCTTCCCACATTCCCATAAAGGTCTAACTTCATTAGTTTTAATTTTCAGAAAACAGTAGTTTAAAAAACCCCTCATTTTCCAAATCAGAGGTATGATAGTATTCTTTGTTAAGTAATATATGCTAAGGGTCAGTTCTCACTCTGAAGATTTTGAGAGCTGCCTTGACTCCTCTTTATTTGCCTATGTGAAACCAACCCACATAAAGTTTTAATCTCAAGAAAAAAGAAATCACCTTGAAAACTGGGTCCTGTGGTCCCTGTTTGTGGTCTGAAAACAGAGGCTAGAGGCCATTCCTGTGAATTCCCTTCCTTCCTCCTTTCTTTCCTTCCTTCTTCCCCCATCTTTGCATGTCTTCTTTATTGTTTGTATTTGGTTAACAAAAGTATGTGTCTTTGTCTCTTGACAGATGTTTAAAAGTGTTCTTTTGTTTTGCTATTGTTATCATAAATTGTCTATGCCAGGTCCTGGGCTTAGCAGTGGGAGATTCCTAGAAACCTAAATGATTTGTCCTTCCCTACTATATGTGTGTGGGGAGCAAATGGCTAAAAATAATTCTTTCAATTGGTTTCATCTTAATCATTATGCAGAAAAAGAAAAGAGGAGAGGAAAGCCCAGGAAAAAAGGAAGAAGGCCAGGGTCAGGAGGAGAGCTCTGAAGGAAAGGGGAAGCCACCAGCAGAGGAAACAGAGGGTGAAAACCAAAGCTGAAAAGCTTCAGAAGCTGGATTCTTCAGAGGAGTGGGAGGAGAGGAAACGGCTGCTGGCTCGGAGACGGGTGGAAGCCCTTCGGTTGCTCCGTGTTCTCCTAAGGAAAATTTCAGTAAGGCCTTTTCCCATTTGTTCTTCAATTTGGGTATATACTAGCTTTTCAGAGCCCCAATCTTTGCGTTTAAGCAGGGTATGTTGAAAATCAGCTCCACAGGAGACTCAGGGTGTGCAGTAGAGTTTCTTTGAAATCCAGTGATCCCTATAACCCCAACTGTGGATTTCCAAAAATAGTATCCACATTCTGTAACAAAGTCGTGTCTCAGCCCTGGCCCCCCTTGCACTGTGCATTTCTAAACATCAGGGCTGTATTACTAGAGCCACTCAGCTAGTTAATTTACTTTTCTGAGTTCCTAAAACAGTTGTAACAAGAAATGCCAGTGTGGTGTTAGTAAATAGGTGTGGGTGCCAGATTTTTAGTCTTCTGCAAACTTTACTTGGGCATTCATCTGTAACAGGTTTAGAGAAAGGAAAGCCGTGAGCCTTGTGCAAGCTCACGTTAGTCTACTTTTCAAGCTGTTTCGTAGAGAATGTCTTTTCTCACAGAGCCATTGCATTGTTTGGAGAGTTTAGATTTGGGAAAATGTTTCTTTTCCTTCCTGAGCTCCTAGAGACAAACCCAGCAGACGTCCTGGGTAAAAACGCCAAAAAGGCTCTCAAAATATTAATTTAAAAACCCATATTCAGTGTTTTTAAACGTGAAGAGCAGATACCCTAATTTCACGTGTATTTGGGAGCTTTTCATTAGTATGGACTATCAACCTAGCAAAATCAGAACTCAAAAATCTTACATTTACATTTATAATAAAGCTAGCTGGATTTTTTTTTTTTTAGTTTACCTTAATGACTGCCAAGGGGGAGCACTCATAAAGAATTTATCTCTTTAAATGGGTGTAGTGTCTAATTCCAGGCCCCCTTAATAGTTAGATTCATTATGTTCAATAAAAATTCTAATCTCAGCCAGTGGGTAGGCTGTGTGCTGTGATGTGTGACAGGTGTTAGTGGAAGCACAGTACAAACCCTTCCACGGTGGTAGACAGTGTGGGCAGCACCTTAACCTGCACTGCAGTTGCTTTAGAGTAAACTGCATCGCAGATGCGGCTGCAGGTAGAACCGTGGTCATGGGTATGTTTACTACTTGATGTCTTGTTTATTTTTATCTTTTGGTGCTGGGTATTGTACCCTGATTGTCTTAAATTATAGACAAGTGCTCTGACACTGAGCTACACCCCTATTCCTAGTGGCTTGCTTCCAAATGATGCAGGTAAGGTAGGAAAATTTAAGAGATACATTTACCTGCAAACTGAAATTCACAGCCAAGAGACAGTTTATCTTTTAAGCCACTTAACCTTTTTAGACACATCAGCCTTTTCTTATGCTAGGATTTTCTGGGAGGTCTGTAGAGCATGTCTTATTCTTCTTTGTCTCTTTTGCTCCTATTATAATTTCTACAACAGTAGCATTATCAATTTTTAAATACAGGAAAAGACGGTTTGTATACTTTGACGTCTATGTAAAGTATGGTGCTTTCTGACATATAAGAATGGGCACAGACCTAGTAAAAGCAGATCATATTAAAGACATTTAATTTATTCCTTCTTATTTCTAAGTGCAATATTGTTCTAATTTGAATCTATACTGGGTATTAGAGTCTCTTCAGAACAATGTGGGAAAGCCAAGTTTTCTTTAGAAGTTTTTAATCTGTTCAGCTTTTTATGTGAGATTTTCAACTTTTTTTTGAAGGGATCCAAACAGATTGGGCTAAAGGAGACTGATGTTACAGACCCTGAAGCTAATCGTGCTCCAGGGAACACAATGAAAATTTGGAAGGAAAAAGAGTCAAATGCTCAGCTTCTTCCAAATCAAGAAGAAATGCCAGTATATCAGGTTGCCAAGTCCAACAATAAACAAAAACAAAAAGTGAGGAAAAGAACTAGGGATAGCTTAAGTAAATCTTCCCGTTGTCTTCGGAGAAAAAAGTTAAGATACTCAACTCAGAAAGAGAGAACCAGAAAATTATTAACAGATAGTCACAATTACAGTTTGGTCTCTGACCAGAATTCCTTGCAGACCACAATGATTCCAGGTCAGTCTCTTAAAAAGGAGGAGCAGCCCAGTTCTCCTAAATCCTCTTCTTCCAGATTACCTGAGAGAGACCATGACAGGAAACAGAAGATCTATGAAACTGATGAGTTTATTGACTACTTATTAAATTATTATCAGACTCCAAAATATGCTCGCATCTGCCCTGATGAAGCAAGTCACATAGAAAGTACATGTCAGTGGCAGAGGGATGTCTGTGTTAAAGGGAATGGATTTCAGATCAGTTTGAGAAAACATAAGGAACCTTCAACCAATTTGAGCCAAATGGAAAACCTGGAAAGGGAAGGACATGTCCAGGAAGATGATTGCTGGTCAATGGTATGCATGCAGGATCCTGAGCACAAATCACAAAAGATAGAAAAAGTGGATTATACCAAAGACTATACTAAGATATTTAAAAATGATTGCAAGGATACAGCCAGTGAAGCTGGTGGTCAACTGTCCCCAAATGATGCAAAGTGGGATCTTTTGGAAAAGACTCATGCTCACCAGGCCAGTGATTCCACAGTGAGCCCTGAAATTTCTTCACCTTGCAGGTCAGTAGAAGTACATTTACAGTTGACAGATTTCTTAGAGGAAATAAGTAGTGATTCTGAGTGCTTCAGCGAGACTTTTAACTTAAATGAAGAGGAGAAAGAAGAATCTGTGGCTATATATCATAGCTCCCCTAAAGAAGAAACTCTTGCCAGTGAAGAAATCATCATTTGTGAGCAAAAATCTGAGTCAAGTCAGCATTCCTTGCATTCAGAGTGGAAACATAATGGTGAAGGAAAATACTCTAAATACATACTTAGGACATCAGGCAAGAGGTCCAAGTATGAACCGAGTTGTTCATGGCTTGAGGATGAAAGCAATTCTATTAAAGATGAGAAGAACAACAGCAAAAAGAGGGGAAAAAAACCATCGAGCTACTTTTTTGACGAAAGCGGCTACGATAAATCCAAGTCCAATGATCAATTAGCAGAAATCACAAGGAAGAAGAGGAGGGATAGTGGTAGCATATTGGACCACAGAGTGAACGATAGACCCTCTCATGTGCCAGTAACATCATCAAAAAGTGATAATGATTTCTACTTGGGATATTTTCCCGAAAGAAGAACAAGTTCTTGGAAGTCAGAATATAGTCAGGGTGCAAGAAGGCTTAAAAAACGTGAGAATTCTAAAGATTTCATGCCCAGATCTGACAGCTATTACAGTAGACCTAACGGTCACAAGCATATTCATTGTGGAAGCTCTTTAGGAAACAACGATACTAGCTCTTTATCTTTTCAAATGTTTTGATGCCAATTTGATCAGGAACACCCATATTTACAATCAACAACTCATAAACAAAAAATTTAAAATCAAATATAGCTATGTAGTTAGCTACAACCGAGCAAAAGCTCGTGCAGGGTCAAATGCAAAACCTTGCCAAAGTTTAAAGCATAGATCAAAATGACTGCAGGTGTTTTGGCAAGCTTTGGAAACATAAAACCTCTAGATTCTGAAGCTTAGCCAAACAATGTACTTGCAAAACTTCAAGAATAAACTTTTTTTTTAACAGCTTTAATTTGGTGCCAGTGAAGGAGCAGATTAACATTGAGGTAGCCCTCTGTGGTTCTTTAGCTGTCACATCATCATCATAATTCATCTTTAAAAATGACAGTAGTGAATGAATAAGGCTCCTTTTGCATGTAATACTTTATTGACTTTTATTTAATAATTGTAGATAAAAAGAGGTAACAGCTAGAACATGTAACAGACATCTTTATGACATTAAAGAATTTCATGAGCACTCACCATAAGTAAATTAATCTTTTTGATGTGTTCATGGTAGTCAAAGAATTGTCCTTTTAGAGACAATGTTTTGGAAGTATCTGAAAGGGGCTAGGCTTGTCCTTTGAGGTCAGGGGCTCATTAGAGGAGTTTTAAAACATGATCCCCATGTCTTTCCATCCTAGAAAAGTAACAGGATTGAAGTGATATAACCAGGGATGTTTCCCAAAGAAATTTTGAAAGGTCCTGAGGCACCAGTAACGGCACTTGGGAAGAGAGGATATGACAGGTATTCCATTTCAAGTTATGTAATCCTTTCACTCAGGGTTGGGTGACATCAGTTTGTATAAAGTCACTGAATAGCCCCAAAATGACTTTTATAAAATAGTAACAAGTGCCTCCTAAATCCTCAGTAGTGCCACAGAGTTAGGCAGATTTAAGAGAAAAGGCCATAGTTTTCTAGCTGTGGAAAAATTGTATGTATGCAGGATTTGTAAACTCTAACATAAGCGATTTATCTTTTTACTTACTCATTTTGAATTTCTTAAATATGTTTTTAAATTGAGATATTTTATAGATTCTTAAAGATTTACCTCTTAGTGCAGTGCATGTTGTATAAAAAGCTTGGCTGATTTATTCTGCCTTATATTGGATTTAGGGCCTCAGGGGCAGTAAATGTCTTTATTTTCCCAACAAAGCTATACCTGACCTAGCATTTGAAGATATCAGTTGAGATTCAAAATTGCCTGCAACAGGAAAAAGTGATTTTAATCCACAGAAGCAGTGGAGAACAACATTTTCATGTGACACAATTCATTTCACAGACTTAATTTGATATTCTGTAGAAACACACTAGCTAATAGAACCAGGTAGGATGCCAGTCAGTGTGGCTGTCCAGAATAATGCCACACGATGTTTGCCCATAACCCATCTCTTGAGCAACCTGGAATCTGAAGCAGTTACAGAACCTCATTTACCTAAAGTACAAACCACAAATTGTTTCATTGATCTTTCTAGTCACATTTTAATAGAGGTAGTCAGAACACGGAAAACCACAGAAATGATTGTATCATCGAAGATCGTGGTTCTTACTAGTAAGATAAGAACCTATTATTAGCCCTCTTGTGTTCCATTCCACTTTCAAGCCAGTGACTGTGCAGTCAAAACTAGGTTTGACTTCTGAGATATGAAAAATTTCTCATGGGGCGAGTGCCTTGTCTACTCTGAGGACTGGCAGTGACCATTCGTGTTCAAAGTACCATCATCCACAATAGCCTTTTAAACTACTAACTGCTGGTATTTTATCAGAAAATTGTCTGTTAACTAGGTATTATTCACCAGTGAAAACCTGTCTCCTTATTTTTTCATGTTTTATGCCAGTGAAATAACATTATGGATTTGTTTTGAAAAGCAATTTATGCTTCTGAATTTTTTAAAATGGTGCTTGGGATGGAACCCCTACTACTGAGCTGCATCCACAAGCCCTTCTTCTGTCCTTCCATAATTTTCTTTTATAAGTTCTTTTGGCATGAAATAATTTGTTGCTCAGTAAAAAAATAAAAATAAATTACAGAACACAGTATGTGTATTTTTTTTTGTATAATAGAATTGGTGCTAAGTCATTTTTATGTAACAGTCTTGTTTGATTCATTTGCTAAAAACCATCCTCGGAGTTAGAAGAAATAAAAATACTGGTTTTATGTTGACATTATGAACAACTCTGGATTTTTATATCCATCTTGCAGTAAAGAATTCTAGATTTGGGTCAGCCTTTTTTTCATGTGGGCCTTCAAAAGTTCACCGTACTTCTCAATCGAATGGTTTAGTAACGAATGAAACAGAATTGAAAACATTATAATCGTTTTCTCTTAATACACTCTTTGTTGTGCTGTTAAGTGGAATGAATGTATTTTCTCGTATCTTTTTTGTACTTTATTAAGTAAGGGCCTGAATTTTAAACTGGCTTTTAAAATAGGTGTCCCCATGTTTTTCATTGTATGTGCTGCTGCTAAGTGTTGTAAGAAAGCTAAAAATTTGTCAATGTTTTTAATCAGTTCATTTAAATTTCTCAGGTAGAAGGTGCTGTAACCTGGTAATACCGAAAACAGAACCAAATAAATATATTTTTATTTGTTGCAAAGCTGCTTAAAATGTTCATTTTTTTGGCTGATACTTCCATGGAGGGGCAGTTTCTACCTGTAGTACAGTATGCTGCATTTCACTAATGTTGCTCTTTTTTAAGTTTGAATTGTTATAGAAATAATATACTTTTCATGCATATTAAAATTGCTGTGGTGACCATTAAACTATGTTCATTTGCCACAAGTATTGGTTAGTATGCTGCATACCCAATAATTTTGTGGAAATTAACTAGTTTTAGTATTATGTTTAAGTAATTTTTTCCTTTGTTATCAGTTTGTTGGAACTCTCAGAGTTCATAAAACCCAAGAACAAAATTTTGTTTTTATTTTAGACAAACTGAAATCATATCTAGATTTAAGATTATTTTTCAGTATATTTTATCAGTGCTATTAAAAGATAGCAAAGTAGACTGTGGAATTTCATCTCATCCCGTAAGCACTGACTGGTAGTTAATTACAAGTGCAAGATAGGGAGTCCAGAGAAGACAATGGCTATCAGTAATCATTCTTTGATAAGTCAAGTATTAACCATATTTGTACATGAAACACACACCAAACTGATTTTAAGTATTATATAACAAAGGCTGACTGTACCTTGAACTTTAGAGCTGAAATGGCACTTGCTGGATTCAAAGAGTTCTTTCTGAAACAGGCATGTATGAAGGCTGGTTCTGGATTAAAGATTTATATATAAATTTGGGCCTCTGAGGTACGTTGAATACTACACTATTTTGAGAAGCTACAGATAGGCAGATCCAATAAACCTGTAGCTGGTGTTGCTTGTGGATGCTGGTACTGAGAACAGTCTGCAGCAGGTTGGGAGCAAAGCTGACACCTCCCCAGCTCGCCTCCAGGTGGTGGTAAGCAACTAATCCTTGAATGGCACCTTTACCTTCATATGGCTGACCTGTATCTAGCTGGCTGTTTTTGGCTCAAAGTCATGCCTTCTAGTAATAATTCTTTATACAGCTGACACAGTGTGATATGGAGGACAATCAAGCTATTGGGACCAAAGCTTGAACAACACTGGCTGTCATCCTCATGACACCAGCTAACCCTGTCTGTGTAAAAGTAGTTTAACATTCCCATCTAAATGAGACTTTAGCTGCAAAGGTGGTCCAAGTTCTTTCCCCAACCATTTTTCCAAAAGGTTAGGCATAATAAGAATGCCTGGCACCAAATAAGCAGTTGAATATTCATTGAATGAAACCTAGCAGGACAAGGAGTATATGTGTTTAAAAAAAGTTCAATGTGCTTTTATAATACATGAAAAATGAAAAACAGATTTCTTTGGTTAAGGGAGTACATTTTTCCTGAGAACACTGCCAATTTCAATATTAAAGTGTCAAAACACTAATATTCACACATGAATAGATTGTCCGTGTTTATACAACTGACTGCATATGCAACTGTTACTCTTTTGACCTGAAGTGAATTAATATCAGTGTAAACATTTCTAATCAGACAACACATCAAAACAAAAACCTTTTCTCAGCAATCTGTAATGATAACACCTTCAGTAACATTACTCTTTAAAACCTTGCTATATACTTCAGTTTATAAAGCATTCTAATTTAAAAAATCAACTATTTGTTAGGACAAGGTGATTTCTGGTTTATTGTGAGAGGTCTGTGAAGATCTGCCCTTTTAAACTTGTTTCTTTTGGAAATACAAAGAATTCATACTTAATATACATGTAACTACTCTCCAAGTTGATTATAAATTTACATGAACTGCAAACGTAGTAACAAATTTAAAAAAAAAACTACTTTCCAATATACATTAAAAAAAGTGAAATTGAATTTTAAGCTAAAGTTGAATAAAGTTTTAAAAATTAAACCACCAAACTATTTGGAGTAAAATCATTTTATTCACTGACCAAAGCATTTCAATTTTTTTCTGATTCGAGGTAAAACCATTAAACACATCTCACAAGAAAATACAGTAACTATTTAACTACAATTATAAGAGTTTGCAACCTCACTTGTTCATTGAATACTTTTACAAAGTCATACAACTGTAAAGTCTACTTAGACTAGGGTTAGCGTTAACCAAGAGTACTATCCAAGACCTAGACACTTGATTACTATTTTCATAGTGACTGTAGTTTTATAACAACAGAAGGAAAATGTTATCTTGTGAATAGTTCAAAAACCACTTGACTAGTGACATGTACTCTTTCCTCATTCTTCAGGGATATGAACACAGGCTTTGAGGAAAGCACACCCCTGGTCCTGTCCTGTGTACCTCTCTTGTACTTAACACATTGTCAAATAACCATCCCCCTGCTATGAACATGGGAGACTGGGAAACCAGTCCTACAACCTTCTTCATGGATTTAGGGAATTTTTTTTTCCCAAAGCTGTCTTTTAAATATGCAGATCTTGTTTTAATCCTAACTGTATATTACTGTGTTTATACATCTATAGGATGATAAGGACAGTGATTGAGAAACACAGTAATTATTTCCCCTAATTGAAACCTGCATTGAGATTTTCTTTTGTTACTAGATGGATGTTTTTATACCAAAGCCTCTGGAATACTGCAGGTTTGCTTTAGAGGTAGATAAAACAGAAATCATGCAGTTAAGTCAATTGAATAAAAGGAATTTATTTAGAGAATATCATAACTGCAAGTTGATCCTTTGTCCTTGGTGCACACTTAACATTTTTACCTGTTTGTGGAAATACCCGAGTCTTACCTGTCACTGTAGAAAAACAAATTTAAATTCAGTAGATAGTTACTATATATAGAAGAAAGACAGTATTAACATTTGCATTATAGCACTGCAGTTTACTTTCTGGATTTGTGACATATAAACATCTCATGCACTCTAAGACAGAGAAGTTAATTTTATCAGTGTCACTAGTGATGTTAATTAAAAAATTTACAGCAAGTTCAAATGTTTCTAATATTGAAATCACCATGTTTCAAAGACAGACTGGTATGTTACAAATGATTCTGAAAAATACAAAAATAGATATGCTTCCACTGAATGCTTTAATCATTTTTCCGAGCATTCTCATCTTTTGGTTCATCTTCATCTGAGTACACAGTGGGTTCCTCCCCCGCTTTCAGCAGCTTGCCCACGTGATGGTACTTGACTGGAGGTAGACAAGAAAAGACAAATGGTCAGTCTCGTGCTTTATCAAAAACCATTACTCTGTTTCATTTAAAAAAGGAGCCTGTGATACACCTGGCAAGATGGTAGGTTTCTTGAAGGATCTGAAAGTGGTTTATACTACTATCCTTGCCAAAAGGGAATTGCATTTCTGTTTAGAAGACAGAAAATATAAAACAGGTTGTAGTGTCTGGTAATAGGCTTGCAAGGTAATGTTAACACGAACTGTGTCTGCATGTAGAGAATATGTAGAAGAATGGGGTCTCATTATGTGTTAGAAGGGCTGCAGAACATTTCATGGAAGGAGGATATGATTTGGAGAAAGTGTAGAAGGATTTGGTAAGAGATATATTTCCTGAAAACAAGAATATTATGTACAAAGGCATATAGACAAGACTGAACATATCTGAGAAGCAATTAAGAGATCAAGTTGTCAGTCAGGTGGAAATAGTAGGAGATAAGGTTTCCCAGTGTGGGAAACATTATGAAAGACCTGAAAGCCAGCCTGAGGAATTTGAACTGAACTTATAGGTAGCAAAGGGCGTTGAAAGTGTTATCAGTAAAAGAATGACACAGCAAAATAATGCTGTGACAAGGATATTATTACTATGATATACAGCGATTTCAGTAAGGAGAGCCTAGGAGCAGGGTGACGCTGGGGCTAGCATGTAGACAGATGTGAAGGAACAAGGGCCAGGAGTAGGGCAGCATCTATAAGAATGGGATGAGAAAAATATGAGATACTTTGAAAGAAAACTCAAAACATAAGTTAATGAGAACTAGATATCTCATGGACCAAAATGGGGACTCTGTAGAGAGAGCCATTCTGGAGGTCCGTGGAAATTTTTAAGAGTTCAATTTTAGGGATGGAAGCCACATTGTATGGGCTTCTATCACATCGTGGAGAAGGAGATACAGACAGGAAATGAAGCAGTGGTTAGGTAGATAGTGAAAGGGAAGAAAATGGTTTAGTAAATGGAGAGAGTAGTGGGAGACAGATTTTTTTTCCTGGCATGATTAAAACACTATGGGTAAAGAATGTGGTAATGCAGCCAGGAGAGGGCCGGAGATGTTGGAAATAACAGGTTTAAGAGTATAAACAAGGCCGGGTGTGGTGGCTCATGCCTGTAATCCCAGCACTCGGGAGGCTGAGGCAGGAGGATTGTTGCGAGTTCGAGACCAGCCTGGGCTACAAAGTGAGCTCAAGGCCAGCCTGAATTGCACAGCGAGACCCTGTCTCAAAAAGACAAAAAAAAAAAGTGTGTGAACAAGACCAATAAACTACACCGTTATAGCTAAACGAAAGAACACCAATCTTTTTTTTCCTCATCATAGGTAGTAATGAGCAACCAACCTGTCCAACCAGGTAAGCAAGAGCTGTTTTGTGTGAAATAATCATTGGGACCAATCCGAACTTCCCTGTTTAAACATAGCATAAAGGTCTCTGAGTTGCTCAGGATGGTGCAAGACAAATAAAAGCTGGAAGGAGCCTTGGAAGCCTGTCTTAAGGGGAATCAAATCCACGCCAGCTTTGCGGGTAGCCGAGGTGTCACAATAGTTTGAGGGGCTGGGGATTTAGCTCAGCGGCATAACTGCCTGCTTTGCAAGTGCAATTTAGCTCAGTGGCATAAGTGCCTGCTTTGCAAGTGCATGGTCCTTAGTTTGATCCCCGGTACCGATAAAAAAAAAAAAAAAAAAAAAAGTTTGCAGGGCTACGCTTTAGTTTAAGTGGGGGAAAAATACACTTTTTTTCCTTACTGATGAAGGCAAGCCCCAGAAATTAGAGCTTTGTGTGTTACTAATTTTATACAACTCATTAATCTCTATCATGACAAAGGCATCCTTATTATGTAAAAATTAGCAACCATGTTTGGTAGCTGAATTATGTTTTCAAAGTAAGAAGACTTGCTCCTATCCTTGTTCCACTTGAGATCCAAACTCAAAAGAGAGAGCAATCTCTGGCTAATTATTAACCCAGACCTCTGAGGTCAGCAGTATTTTCAATGAAAATGGTTGGATATAGCCAAAAGAGCATGTAATATTAACTAATTATAAAGAACAGTAAATAGAAAGTTCCATTTTAAATGAGAAATCTTCAAAGAAATAGACATGGTCTTCACACACTTTTCATAAAATATAGGAAAATTATTCAAATTCATAGCAGTGAAATATTGCTGAACTGACCAAATGACTTAGGTTTAACAGAAGCTAATTCCTGAATTTTCAAGATTTGAATTTAACCCTTCATTTGTACCCCTTCCCCCAAATAGCCCATAACACAAGCCAGAACAAGCATCTTTTCTTTTTTTTCTCTTTTTTTTCTTTTCTTTTCTTTTCTTTTCAATGCAGACACCATTGTTGCTGGGCAGATTATAAGCATCATTTGTGGAGAAGGCCTATAGCAAGGCTTAATTAGATTCAAAGAGAAGCTGTTCTGCAGAATACAAGTCTCCCATTCTTCAAGAGAGATGTGGGCTGCTTTTAAACCACAAACTCTGCAAGAGAAGGCTTATGAAAATCCCTCTTTTTCTAGCCAAGAAGGCCAATGTCCTTTTCTCTATATACCCAAATCCTAGTATGGAATCTACACAAATTTCTGTATAAATATTTAAGTATCAAAACCAGAGACCCAAATTTCTACAGAGAACAAGCTAAAAATCGGTATGCAGTCATAGCAAGTGACTCAGCACTGCCACAATTCCTTCAAGCCATGAACTTGATCTGTCCAAGATTCAGGACTCTGTCAAAACACACCCAAGTTTTAGGCTGCTTGGTAGTAACTATTACCCTGCCATGAATATCCACGACTGGTAGAAATTTGATATAGACATAATTAAAAAAATACTTACAAGTGAATTGAGAGTCCCAGTCACTCAGAGTCTCCTGCTGGGCAGGAGTAAGGTCAGAAAGATCATCATATTCATCCTTCAGTGCTTCCTTATCCAGGCAAAACGTGGCAAGGCCCCTGGATGCGTCTCTTCCAGCAAAGATTCCATATGGTCCCTCTTTAAAAACAATAGAAACCAAAGACCAGTTTTTTATTAGATAATACATTTCTCAGTGGTTTACGCATAGAAACATGCTTTCTTTACCCATTAACACAGAATGGCCCTTTTTTCCCATATCAAATTTCATTTTTAAACCATAAAGTGATATTGATACTCATGTCAATCATCACATAGAACACTGTCATTAAACTATTAAATAACCAAAATTAGTAAAAATGCCACAGAGTTTTAATTTCCTATGATTTTTAAGTAACTAATATACAAAAGTCATAACTGGTTATTTCAGGGGAGGTAGTAAGAACTGATCCAAGATAATATAACCCATGAGTCAGGATTCAACTTAAGGACTTTGAACCTCAAGCCTGCTCTGTTCTAGGCATTCGGGCTAAGCCAGTGAGAGTTATGATTTCTTAAGATAATAATTAGTAATATGTAAAGGAAAATATTTCCTTATAAATATATTCTGATATATTTTAATGAGTCAAAGGTGTCTTACAGGGGCTGGGGATTTAGCTCAGCGGCATAAGCGCCTGCCTTGCAAGCAGGCGGTAGTGAGTTCGATCCCTGGTACCGATAAAAAATGAAAAAAGGCAAAAAAAAAAGGTGTCTTACAGAGATCTTTGATTGTGAAGCTCAATTAAACATTAACTCATGATATCTGCAGGAGAAATCATTGTATAAGTTATCAGTAGTTCAAAAACCTATCCACGTTGCAAAACTTTCATTGTCAATAAACAGAGTACAGACAAGATAGCTCCGTCACTCTGTTTTCAGTGGGCTTAAAGAGAAACTGTGAAAATACTAAAATTTTCAGGGAAAAGGGCTGAATGAATACCTAAAAATAGTTCTATAAAACTCAAAATACTGTTAGATATATTAACCTGAGCTTTTATCTAAGAGAACAGTGAATCATGCTCTAGGCACTTAAAAGTAGATGATTAGACTTATTTAAATATTGCACAAGTAAATGAAAAAACTCCACTGTTCTTTAAACAATGTCTTGTTTTCAAACAAGTACACTGAAAAGCAACCTTGACATTAAAAAAGTTCGTAGGTAATCAATATGCCAAGTATGACAAGGAATCAAGTTTCAAAATAGCATGGTCCAGAAACCTCAACCCACTAAGGAATTTTTTATAAGTTAAATAAGTTTTATGGTCTTTTTTTTGTTATTTTTTTTCTTGGTACCAGGGATCAAACTTACGACTTTGCTCTTAACAGCCAAGTGCTTGCTTGAGCCATTGAACTAAACCCCTGGCCCCCACAGTCAGTTTTTTTTAAAGATTTGTGGAAGCATTGAATAGTGGTATTTTGTCCTTGTGCCTTGTCTGTTTGAGTAGTTTATGTATGTTTTAAAAGATGAGTTTGTTTGTTTTTGTTTTTTGTGGGTACTGGGAATCGAATAAAGGACCTCATGCTTGCCAAGCCACACTGCTGAGTTATATCACCAGCCCTTATGGTTAACTTTCAAATGCAATTAAGATTTATCAACTTGTAAATGCAATTAAGATAAGTAGCTGTTTTTAATTATCATTATATGCTTCCATTTCCATTAAGGATAAAAAATTACATTTTCTACAAATGTACTCCTTAGAGATAGTAGCACCTAGTGTTTGAAAATAGGCAAATTGTACTGATTTGGACTCTACCATTTCAGAAATTATGGTCATTGGATCAGTAGAGTGAATTTTATTTAGCAATCCTCACAGAATAATTAAGGTCTAGGGACAGCATTAAGTCTTTAACTGCATGTATATTTCCAAGAAGCTATATAAACAGAGACCTTTCATCTGTGTCACTAATTGCTACATCCCCCACACCTACAATAGTGCCTTGCATAGAGTAAGTAGGCACTAAATAATTTTTAGAAATCCTTTGTAACATGAAGTATTCCCATGTGACACTGGCATGTATTCATAGGCCCACTCAGTGGTAGGGAGGATAGAGACTTAGAAATTTCACAATGGGCCAGTCTTGCCATTTTCTGCAGGGGAAATTAAGGCCCAGAGAGAACAATGATTTGTAGCAGATCACAATTGGTTAGTGACCCAAACAGAACTAGAATGCAAATTCCCTGACTCCAGTTTTGTGCTCTATGCACAGACTGATACTGTATCCAATGACTCTGCAAACTAGAGCCATAAGATGATGCCCCAGGCATATGTTTTGACTACTTATGGTTTAGCGCAGTAAAAAAAGATATTCACGTGATTATGTTTACTGATAATGTGCTACTATGATGACAAGTGTGGTATTCAAATTATTGTGCAGTTACATGCCTACAGAAAGCTGGTATTCTAAAATGTCCACAAGGAAACACTACGCGGAAGAGCTCTGAAGGAATCATCCCACATCTGATTTTGATTAGCTGAACTAGAAAAGTAAAATAAGGAGTGGATAGGACCTGTTCAGTGCAGGATTCTCTTTCCTCTCACAGACCAGTGAGGATGTGAACACATCCTCTGAGCTCCCCGTGTTTAGAGGACTCCATATTGGACAAATTCAAATCTTCTTCCTCTTTTCATAAAGCAGGACTTTCCAAATCAGCCTGCTTCTCAGATTCGCCAGGAAGCCCTGATCCTCCTCAAGACGCTCACCTGTGGTTCTGGCTGCTGAGGCCAGGAATCTGTATTTTTCCTCAAGTGCATCAGGGGATTCCGATAAGCAACTACTTTTGGAAAAATCTCATCTTTAAGGATCTCTCCCTGCAACAGCTCCCTCCAATAGCTCAGCTGTCATCCATCCATCCATCCTTCATTTTCCCTCTGGTTGGCTTTTCCTGAAATCCCCTCCCCAGCTGCCTTCGTCGTCCTATTCCTTTTGTTTCCTGATTCTCCCATTCTCCATTTTTAATCTTTTTGTTTGTTTGTTTCTGGTTCTTGCTCTCCTGTTACAGATTAAATATGGTATTAATGGCTATTACCTTGCCATGGTACCACTGTCTACAACACCCAGCCCTTATTCCTTTCTCAGGTAACTCACGTCCCCCTTCTGGGCCTCCCTGGTTCACCTTGCAGCCTTTCTCCCGTCACTTTATCCCACAGAACGCGCACACACACATACCAAGTACAGGCCACACACATACTTGACACATTCCAAGCGAGAGCGCGCACACGCCCCAAACCACATTCACTCAACACGCACACTGCGCATGCACACAGGGGAACCCCCCCACCCCTCTCCACCACGCACAATGTTTTTTTTTACCTGCAGCTAATCCCCATCTCCTCTTTCGCTCTCACCTTTACATTCTGCCAAAGCTAGTCCGGGTGTTAGGGGCCTTCGTGTCTCCTCCAAGTCTGGATCACCCCTTGCCATGCTTTCCCCTGGAGCCATCTTCATTTCCTTTCTCGCACCAGACACCATCATCTCCTTTCCGGACCCCGCAAAGTCCTTACCTTCTTCAAGTCCCCCACATACCCTGCGCTCCGGTGTGTTCCCTCCTCGAGCCTCCAAGTCCCACTCCACCTCCCCCAGCTTCAGCGCCTCAGCTTCTTTCTCCAGCCCCACCGCAGTCCTGGCAGCGTAGGCTGGGGAGCCTGTGTCCCCCACTGTCCCACAGCCCCTCTACAGTTCCTCTGGCCCTCTCCGCCCGGCCACGACCCCCTGACTCTAGGCCTTGGCGCCCGCCTTGCCTCCCCCGGGGGCGCCCCGCTCTTCTCTCGGGCCCAGCCCCACGCTGGGGCCCCTTCTTTTGTCTCAGTGCCCCCCTCGCCGGTCGCCCTACCGGGCCCGTAGAACTTGCGGCCTTTGGTCACGTCGAACACCTTGCCGTTGATGGCCATGAGTATGCGAGGGTCCTGGACGCCGTCGAAACGCCGCAGCTCGGCTGGGGTGAAGTCACGCCGCTTGAGGCGGGGCAGTGGGGGCGGCTCATCGTCGTCGCTGTCGCCGCTGGACCCCGGCTGATCCCCGCGCACGATCTTGTACAGCAGGAAGATGCAGAGGCTAAGCAGCAGCAGGTTGAGCGGTGACGTGAAAATCTCGTGCAGCAGCCCGCCGCTCTCCAGCTCGTTCAACTCGGCGCCGGTCGCCACCACATCCTCGGCAGCCATGATCTCCGGAGCGAAGGTTTGGCGGGGCTAGGCTGAGCTCCGGAACTCGCTGCTTTCCCCTCCCTCTCAGCCAGCGACAGGCGCGCTGGGTTCAGCAACCGACCAAAGCGTGCGGAGGGCGGAGCCTCCGAGGCCCCGCCTCCTGCGGCCGCCTAAATGCCCTGCCCCGCTCAGTCCCGCCCCGCCGACCCCCACCCTCTGGGTCCCGCTTGTCCTTCCCCTGGCTGCTTTGGCCTTCGTCGCCACCGAACTGAACCCATCTCTCCACTCTACCTGCAAGGCCTTTGCCGCATTCTCACGCCACTCTCGCACCAGCAACGCTGTACAAGTCCCTCTTAGGCACTACATCCCTCGTTTGCTCCCCGCACCCCAACTCGATGGGCAAGCCCTGGCTTAGCCGGCCTCTGAGGCTCCAGGCCACCTGTTAAGCCCTCAAGACAACTACATTTCTCTTGCTTCACTCTTCTCTTCCGCTCCCTGTGAGAACCCCTCTTCGTTCCCCCGTGCCTCGATCCCCTTTGTAGGAAACTCATTTTCCACCTTAGAGATCCATTTTCACCTTGGGAACTCCCATCTACCGACCTATCCCCTACTCTCTTGCACAGGCTGTGGGGCAGACACCCACAGAGCCGCTAAAGTCAGTGGAACAGGCCTATCAACTGGCTCAGTATTTAGGGATTAAATCACACAAGTCACTTTAGGGTCTCAAAAAAAAAAGAGATAAACCTTTTTGCAATCACTGGTTTGCTTGGTCACAAGTCATCAGCAAGTGACATTCTCTTGTTAAGCTTTTTAATGCTCCGCAGAATTATGTCCAGAGTTTCTTTGGCAGCATTCTTCTCTTTGAAGCCTATCAACCTACCCTTGACAGTCGCAATTACCCTTAGCTGGAGCCCAGACAAAGGCGAGAGTCTGGACACAGCGGAGCTTGGAGGTCGGACCCCTCTTTCCTAGGTACTTCGTCTGGCCTTTGATGTGCAAATAGTCGGCACTGGAGCGGTCTCTATGGAAGGATTTTCTGTAGCGTTCAGAGGCCAAATCTGGCTTCCCCTTTTATTGTGGCACAGGAAGGGAAGCGGAAGAAAGGATAGACAGAGGGAAAAATAATTAAAATAAAGCCTTGCACACATCTGCAGCCCAGAGCAGTACTTTTCCATTAAGGGTTCTGTTCACTTGCACATAATTTACTCTCCTCCTCAACATGCAAGATACTTGAGGAAGCAATTGGCTTCTTATTTCAAAATTCTAAAAATTTCTGGCCTGAACTGCTTTTATGCCTGCCCTTCCCCGTCTTCACAAATCATTTTAAAGTGTAATGATCCAAACAATCTTTTTATCAAGCCCACGCATTTTTTCAGAGCTAAATTTACAATTAGCTGACAAGTCCCTTCCCAATAGGTTATGAAACCTCAATTTAATCCTGGGGAAACAGGTTCAAATTGAGGGCATTTGACTGTAGTCAGATTTTCATTATGTGTTTGTAAAAAATGTACAGATGTTTGTAAAAACCAACAAACTTGGGAAAATATTTTCCCTTTATAAGACAAAATATCTTTTAAGAGTTCATTTTACTTGGTAAAAAATCCTAAAGATTCTACTCCAAATGGACAAAACAAGAGCAAGTAGTTCACACATGGGCATACTTATGATGCATAAGTACATGAATAAGTTCAGTCTTGCTAGTATAAAAGACAAACATGGAGACACCACGGTTATCTATCAAAGTGCCACAGGAAAGAAAGAAGTAAGAGTGTGCCAAGCGTTTCATATCCTTTTGAGGGGAGTAGATATTATATCAACTTTTGCTATCCATAAAATTTCCACCTACTAACCCCACTTCCGGACATCTACATTTTGACCCCGTAATTCCACTTTTAAGAATCCCTCCTAAGGAACTCTCTGAATGCACACAAATATTTCACTATTATGATATTCATTATAGATTCATTTTTAATGCACAAAAAAAGAAAACATCTCAAATGTTCAACTTCAAATAAAATGACTTATTAGCCCACTTTAATTATCTAAAACCATATGCTGGGCATTCAAACATTGTAATGACATGGGAAAATGCTTGTTTTAATCTTAGGAGGTGAAAACAGGATACAAAGCTATATTTAGTGTGAAGTCAGTTATGTCTGAAAATGCATAAAAGTAAACATGAAATATGCTAAAATGTTCATACTTGTGACTATTAGTTTCTTCATGCTTTTCCCTATTTTCAACAATGAGTGTATGCCACTTTAAGCTTGGGGGGAATGGTTTATTATTTCTTTTCTGAAAAGAATGTAGAATGAACCAGGGCATGATGGTGTATGCCTGTAATCCTAGCATTCCAGGATGCTGAGTCAGAAGGATCTCAATTTTGAGCCCAGGCTGAACAATTTAGCAACTTAGTGAGATCCTGCCTCAAAATAAGAAGGCTACAGATATATCAGTGCAAAGACACGAGGATCAGTCCCCAGTTCAGAAAAAAAATGTAGAATGATAATAAATGTTCATTAATAAACTTAAACAGTACCTAAATGTATAAAGTAAAAATAAAAAAGGACACTCATTTTTTTCCTTGTAGATCTCTAGACAATTGTTAAATCAAGCTCATGTTTACAGTTTGATTTCAATTCTTGCAGATATATGCAACATATACACACAAACACATGGATTTTGTTTTACAAAACTGGGAGAAATTTTAAATGATAAAATATCTATTCTTTTTTATCATAAAGGGAGGCACAATGGAAAAAGTCATTAACTTGATGCCCAGATAACCTCTTCTGGGATTCTTTTGAAGTATTTGTTAGAGGTTAGAAAACTCAAACTTTGGAAAGATACAGAAGGTAATTAAAGACCCTCTCCTTACTCCTGATTCTCTTTTCTCAAAGATAGGCCTGGTTTCATGTGAAGAGTAAAACTTTGTAAAATATAACACTTCAAGAAGGGACACCATTTGAAAGTATAGCAGCTTTCAAGCCAGATTCAATGTAAAATAAAGGAGGCTCCTGGAATCCTGGGAAAGTAAAACTGCTGAAAAGTCTGTGCTCATGCTAGAATCCATGCTGGGTGCACAAGTCACATCAGGGTGGCAGTTTCCAAATTACTGTGTCTGGAAGTAACCAAGGATGCTCCTGATTGAAAAATCCTTCTCAGAACATAAGAGTTGCACCGTGTGTGCTCTTTGGCTTCAAATCAATTCCTACAACCTATGTACTTGACCTGAAGACTACTTATGCCCCAAGATACAGGGTAAATCTTTTAATATTTCCAGACTTTCTGCCTCCTTCAAATTATGTTGAAGGGTTCTAAAGACCTTTTAAAGAAACAGAGATCAATTTGCTGATTAGCTAGAAAATATGGGAAATAATTCAATCTCATTAGAAATCAAATGAATCATAACATAATAACAGCATACTAGTTTTCATCATTCAAAGTACCAGAGTGTTCTTTTCTTGGCAATGCTTGGAGTTGGCAAGCATACAGTAAGATAAGCATTCTGACGCATGCTGGTAAATGTTAAATTGCTAGAATGCAAAATTCATTTTTTTCACTGATTTATTTCAAGCACCTAGATCATAGCTGGCAAATTGTAAGCACTCAAATAATATTTTCTGGACTTTAAATTATTCTTGAAGTGGGCACAGAATCTTTAGAAAGTCATTTAACAATATGCAAGAAACACCTCAAATTTTTCCTAGCTTGTAGCCAGGAAGAAATTTAATTTTTAGGAATTTTTCCCAGGGAACCATTCAGAGCCATGGACAGAGATTCGTAGAGAAGATTACAAAGTATGAAACATGATAGCAAAAGAAACATAGCAAAAATCTGGAAACCCAAGTATCCCAAGGTTCTTTATTTATTTGAGTAAGAACCAAAGTTGTTACAGTATCCTGCAGGGTGCTACAGAATCTGTACTACCTCACCAGCTCTTATCTTTAGCACTGCACTAGCATTTTTCCCCTTGTCACTGTGCTCCAGCTGCAGCACCCTCCTTGCTGTCCCTTGGATGAGTAGGCATATTCCAGTTCAGTGACCCTTGTCCTTGTGATTCCTTTTGCCTGGAATGCTCTTCCTAGCTGTCTGCACAGGTTTTACTCTCAGTTTTTCTAATCGTGAAACATATTCCCACTACTCATCCCTTTTCCCTGCATTATTTTTCCGCAATGCATTTAATATTTCCCAATATATGATATTATTTCTCATTTTTATATTCTTTCCTCTTATTTGAATATAAGATATTTGAGAACAGAAAGGTCGTCTACTTTTTTCACTGTTGTTTTCCCTATACTTACAATAGTACTGGGTGAATAGTCGGTGCTCAATATGAATTTGTAGAATTGATGCTGCACATCAATTGTGGTGAACCTCTGTAATCCCAGCACTCTGGATAGCTGAAGTTGGAGGATCATGAATTCAAAACCAGCCAAGGGAACTTAGCAATTTAGAGACCATGTCTCAAAATAAAAAATTTTAAAAGATTGGGAGATGTGGCTCAGCATGAAGGCCCTTAGTTAATTCTTACCACTGCTAAATAAATCTATAAAAGAATAAATTGAATTGAATTTATCTGAATTTGGAAACTCATCATGTTAATTAAATACACATAAACAGAAAAAGATCTGAAGAAGACATGCCTAAAAGTTAATAATTATTTCTGAGTTATGAGATTATG